ATTTTACGTAAGTTTACGATTTTCTTACGCACCGTAAAAACTTACGAAAGTTTACGCATATATATTTTTGCTGATGCTTCAATATGTATAATACAAAAATTTATGTCAAAAACTGTTCTTGCCAATTAACTAAAAATGTTTTGAACATAAGTTGAACTTTTTTAATAAATATATAAACTTGAAGTTTGGTTTGTGAATTTTTAATTGTCTTTGGTAATTTATAGTATAGCAAACTTGTTTATTTAAAATTTTGCCTTTTTAATATATAACACTCTATATAATATTACACAAATAGGCACTAATAAAAAAAATTTTAAATACAATTAGGAGTTGCAAAAATACAACACAAATTAAAGGTTTTTTTAATATTTATTGACAATATTTTAAGAATTATAATAAAGTTCAAAGTATGTATAATATTTATTTTAAGAATAGTAATTTATCAACACTGTCATACCTTTGAAGTTGCTTGAGAACGACCCACAGAGACCTGTTAATACCCAAATGTTTAGCAATTACTCTAACTTATGTCTTCTAGGTTCTTTTAACTAATTTTTTCTAATAAATATATTTGAAAAATCTTAGTAACAAATATATATATACTATATATTTATACTGCATAGATAGCTTATCGAATTCAGCTGAATAGAATTCAGCAAATTTTTTTTAGGGTGTTCCAGAATTTATAAAAACAGCTATAAATATTTTTAGTACAGCTGAAACTAATTTCTATGGCATGTATAGACAGCAGTCATATAAGTTTTAGCAATCAATCATCTATGTAGTATAGAACAATTAATATAGTAAATAAAGTAATATAATTATTCTAACAGTTTTTTATAGTTAATGTTAGAATAAAAAAATTTTGTATTCTAAAATTATTTTAACATTTCTTCATTCCTATCTGAATTATCTGGATAATTCAAATTACTCAGATATCTAGATAATTATTAGTATTAGAATAAGAAAGTTCATATTATAAAATTATTCTAACAGATCTTTAAAGTTAGAATTTAGTATTTTGATTATAGATGTTTGTACTTTTAACATTTCTTAATTCCTATCTGAATTATCTGGATAATTCAGATCACTAAAATATCTGAATAATCATTAGTATTAGAATAAGAAAGTTCATATTATAAAATTATTCTAATAACTCTTTAAAGTTAGAATTTAGTATTTTGATTATAGATGTTTGTACTATATATTAAAATTTCATAAATAATCTATTTTTTTGCTGACATGCCTATTACTAATACATATATTAGTCTTTTCAATAATATATCCAATTCACATAATTAACATGTCAATATTAATTATTTAATAATAATCTTTATATTAATCTTTAAATTAATGATAAAAATAGAAACATGCTCTGATGCAGTATAGTATGATATTTATTAATTAAAAAATTTTGCTGTTTTATTTTTGCTTCTTGTGATAAACTTTAGGTGTAAGAATTAAGCAAATCTTATAATTATTAAATTGAATATAATGTTTTACTGTTTTATCTGTTTTGTCTTTGCTATTATATTTTGATATGTATTTTGATCTGATGTATAAATTAGACTCCTCTTAAATATGATACAGAACAAATACTGTATTCAAGAACTATACCATAAGCAGATGCATTGAAGATTAAAATTTTTTAATATATAACTTTTTTTTTATCTTCAATCTGAATTAGTCAGATTTTTGTTTTTTTTTACTTTTATTATTTTTTTTATAGTTTATTTTATTTTATTTTTTTTATGCTTTAATTTATATTTTTTGTCTATGGTTTATTTTTTCACCTTTATTTTACAGCTTTATTAATTCGTCCTAGCCTCTATTGGATTCATTACTTTGGAGTTACCTGTTGAATCACTGTTTTGAAGTTGTAGTTGCTTTTGGAGTTGTCATGGCTTTCAATATATCATCGCTTTTGGTGTTGCAAGGCTTTTGGTATGTCATCATTTTTGGTGCTCCTTTAGTATTGCTAGAGTTGTCATTTTTGGTGTTTTTGTTGTTGCCGAAATCTCATAGTTTTAGGTTAACCAAAACCAAAACTGGTATTACCAGTTTCAAGCATTAATCTTCAAGCTAAAACTTGTCTAAACTCTAAAACTATGCCAAAATTTCAAAACTATACCAAAATTTCAAAATTATGCTAAAATTCTAAAACTTAAGAATTTAATAATAATTTGGTATTATTTCATTCTTAACAATTATTCTCCTAATACAATCACCACCCCAACTCTCTGACAACCTCTTTCTCAACACAACCACCTATCTGGTAACCATTTACTCGACAAATATTTTTCTAATAACTACCCTATTTTTTACACTAGTACTTACCCAATAACAATCTTTTTCCTAATGACAAACCTTCTTAACACCACCTTTTCAAGACACCATTTTTTTCTGACACCACCTTCCCCGAAATCACCTTTCTTCAACATCACCCTTCTCTAATACCAAATTTTTTTAAACATCATTCTTCCCTAATACCCTCTTTCTAAACACCAATCTTCCCTGATACTATCCTTCCCAGTACTACCTTTCCCCTTTCCCATTTTTTCTAAACACCATTTTTTCCTTCCTGATATCTTTTTTTCATCATTACTCTTTCTAAACACTTTTTCATTAATTTTGCTACAACACTACCACTTATTTAAAAACAATTATAAAAAAAATTAAAAAATTCTAAATCATAAAAAATTACTGTTTAAGTAAAAAAAAACAATCAAATCATAATTTAATTAAAAAATATTTTAAATTATTGTAGTTTGCATAATTTTGTGACTTCTACGATTAATTTTTTTATGAATAAATGATTGTGATTACAATCATGATTGCTAAAACCAGCCAATTTATCATGAATCTAAGTTTGTGTCAAGTTAGGATTTATGATAAATTGACTAGCTTTAACAAATGTAATAACAATTACAATTATTTAATTATAAAAAAAAGTAATTATAAGAGTTACAAAACTATGCAAGCTGCAATAATATATATTTTTTAAAAAAGAACATTTAAATTAAAAAATTCGAGTAATTATAATAAGTTATTGCAGTTTGCAAAAAAATATGAAATTTGCAGATCAAAAAAAAAAAACAAATCAGATCGATTCTTTGAAATGTTAATATGTTACAAAATCATTACACAATTGATGAAAAATTTTTTTATATTATTTTACAATACAATTTTGGAAGACATGTTTGACTTATCTTTTCTATGAGTTGAAAATGGTTAAACAAACATAAAGCTCTTACTTTGCTTTACAACATATTTTTTAAATCCACTAAAATCTTATAGTTTTGTCTTTTTATAAATTTCGTAATTTGATTGGTTAACTAGTCTTGTAGTAATATTTTGACTAGTCAATACAATGAGTGATTTGTGTAATGAAGAATAAAAATCATATATATATTTGGATGTTTTCTTCTATTTTCATTCATATTTTATTGCAGTTTGAATCTCATAGTTAAATTTTTTTGTTTAATTATTGTGATTGTGACAGCTATTGCTAAAGCCAGTCAATTTATAAATATGAGCCTGATACAAACTCAGATTCATGATAAATTGGATGGCTTTAGCAATCGCAGTCACAAACACAAATATTTATTGCAGTTTGAAAAAAATATGAAATTTGCAGATCAAAAAAAAAGTAATTGATGATTTCTGATTCTGATTGCTGATTTTTTAAATATTTTTTTGCAGAAATAAAAGTTGTAGATTTATAATTTTGTAATATATTTTGATTTAACATTTTTTGTAAAAATATATTTTGTATACTTTTTATGTTGTAAAGAACTTGATTGTGTAATATTAAATTTTGCTTCTTTTCCAGCCCAGCAAAATTTACTATTACATAATTAGCAAGGAGAAAATTTAAAAGCTGTACTAAATTCAATCTTATAAAGATTATTATATGATATTGCTAAGAATTTAGTATAATTTATCCCCTGCTCAACCCCATCCACATCACATTTTTCATGTACTTATTTCTACTAGTACATGTTATCAGATTCTTATTTTTACTAATGCATATTAGAGTATTAGTAATAGTTATATCCTGGGTAGTCAGATATAAGTTGAATGTAAATTTTATTTGAAATAAAGAATAAAATGCATAAGTGACTAAAATTTCCTGACTGTCATATATTGACCAGGGTATAACTAAACTATTTGACGATTTAATATTAATAATATTTAGTTATCTTATAATATTGTATTGGTGAAAAATATTAGAATTATCGGTCTAAATAAAGTTTAAAATATTTGAATAAACTATTTACTTTTTGAATAAATACGCAAAGTAGTCATTCACAAGAGAAGCGCCATCGCCAAAATATTGCCTGACATGAAATTCATATGTTTAACGTTAATATTGATTTAAACAATTCTAGAAGTAACCCTGAAGTATGTATAAAGTAAGATTATATATCAATATAGCATAGGTAAATTTAATGTGTTATTTCAATAATGCACAGCCAATTTAGCGAAAAAGAATTACATATTTTTCTTAGCATTTTTAGCATATACAGATTATATAATATACAAATTTAAACAGTACATTAATTGTTAAAATTGAAAGTAATATTTTTGCACTTTATAAATTTCATTTTTTTTTTGATAAATTGATATTCACTAGACTGTTTTTTAAATATAACATTATCATTATTATTAGAACTAATCAGGTTGGTTGTTTCATTCAATGGGATTTTTGAAATTTCAGAAGTTACTTCTTGATCAGC